GCATTGAAAAACAACTTAGTCCTTTTATTTTTGTTATCTGGGATACTCCCGATATTTTGGGGCGAGCGGCGGAACTTTGTCGGCGTACTTCACCCAATAGATGATTATCAGGCGACAACGATCATACGTTTGCGGTGTTCTCTCGTTTTTCACATGCTTAGGAAAACTAGTGGTAGACTGCCCGCTGCAGGCGGGCCGTTTCGGCAAGCAGGAGATCGCGGCGATCTACAGAAACCTAATATTTGAAAGAAACTCTTGCTGGCGGAATCCATTCGGATGAAGATATTGTCTGTACATTACCACGGGATATTCGAGACAGTCACTTCTTTCATCTGGTAGCCATCAGTTACGGTTAGTACTTACCGGCTAATTCCCTATTACAGTGTTCACCGCATCGTGCATAATGTCTCCCAACTGCAGTCAGTAGGTGGTACACCCCAAATCGAATTTCGTCTACTTAGCACATCGACACTACACAGAGCCAAATGTCGGCTGCTTTAATTGACATTGTCGCTAGCCAGGTTAGGCTTGGATGGGATGACATTTAAGACAATTTATCCTTCAGATCGGCATGGTGTGTAACCGAGCATTTTTTGTCTACTTGTGAGGAGTTCACTGCGGACAGGTTGATTTCCTGACCGAAGCATGAATTACGACCGCTATTAACCAAATTCATTCGGCCGGTGTGCCACGCCTTTATGAAAAATATACCTCAGTGGAGGCTGCATATACTCACAACCTTGTCTGTTGATTGATCTCATGTCAGCTGCAATTTTTAAAAAAGCCGGATAAGAACTGCGGTCATCATGGGGCAAGTGACAACAAGAAAGCAGGCCTCCGGAAACACTCCAGAAAGAAATCTAAAGCGGAGAATATGCTGCTGCCATAGCGGCAAGTCGGTAGGGCGTTGGATGTCAAGCGCCTACGCAGAACATGGCGAGGCACTACATAGGGCTGCATTCCGAAAAGCGTTTCCGAAAGCGTAGAAGAGCGTATTATCCGGCTAAATGGTGGACGCCAACCCGGTCTCTTCCGCTGACGTCAGTGATATCCACTACTCGCACCATGCATATACACGAATTGGCTCTCTCGACCGTTGGCACTTCGCGACAAGCGAGCCCCATCTCCGGCCCTCTACAACTGTCACGAATAACCATTCATTCTGCAGAACTACAATCAGGGAATGGTCCGTTTCTGCTTATCTAACAGTAAATTGCGTGTAATTCCTATGTGGGGCAGTTGGTAAAGCAGTCGGTGAAATACAAACGAATCGCAGGTCAATTTGCTCCTATCTTTTCTACGAATTATATCGATTTATCGCCCACGTGAACCCTCTTTCTAGACCTGTCGCGCATACTCAACATGCAGATAAAGTATGGCCGCTCGGTTATGACTGGCTGCTTAAAAATTGTTCCTTTTTGGCGACGAAAGCGGCGTTACTTCGGACATGACTTCAGAGACAGAAAATCGCGGACCGTTGACTTTTCGAGTTGATCGGGTTCGTGGTCTGGCCACCTGGGACTACCGACTTTAGTTGCTTTACCCGCCTGTGCTGCTCCGGACCGAAGCAACCTACTATGACTGCGGCAAATATCTTGTGATTGTTACAGGTTAATGGAATACTCGTCATCAGTTATCGTGAACGTGTTTTAACAGATGGTGAAGATTGTGCATGTTTGCTAAGGGATGCCGTCAGTCGGACCCTATAAAACGGTTCATATCTCCTGAGGGGATGAGCTGTCTCAACCACATGGAAAAGCAGTTTTGACGGAAGTTTCGTATTCGCCGATGTTATTCTGCTTTTCGCTCTGACCTCCATTTCATCGGCGTCTACAGATATTAGCGGAGTTAGCGCGGCTCTGACTAATCGAATGTTCAATGTCATGCGTGCTACACCAATTTATGTTTTGCGTGTACTATCAAGAGGCGTTTAACGACCCATGCTTCACTACCAACCTAGTACCAATCAAGAGTCCACGGTCTTCTTAATAATCTAACAATAATTTTATGATGGAAGAATTGTCACCGACCGGATGCGGAATTTGCTCGTCCCGTTAAGCTCTGCGGCTCAATCTAGGACTCTTGTAGGCAGTCGCGGAGCTACAGGTAATGATGTAGAAGAGAATGCCGACAAAGACAAGTAGGAAATTGACTACATGGGGCCCCATAACCAAAGGACCCGGGTCCTAATCGCTGGTCCCGCAAACCTGGCATTGGGTAAGGCTAGCTGACGACTGCTAATAATCCGGAACTTTCCGCTGCAGTTGCTGTTGTCTTTGTCGAAAGTCTTTCCTTTTTAATTCTTATTTCGACGCCAGGTAATAACTCCCAGTAAAATGAAATCCACGACTTGTTTGCCCAAACAAGAACACACTAGTAAACAAGCCAACTTTCGGCCACTGCCGTACGAGACCGCTTTTGGGAAGTTCCCTTTTGATTCAGCACACGCACGCACGCACGCACAAACACTCTCTTTGCATGCATATGTGTCACAGATCGCTGGAGAAGGGGATGTGACAGCCTGGCTCTCAGCCCACCAGTCCGCCACTCCGCACAACACACACAATTGCGCAGACTGCGTTGAGGCGCCAGTCGGCTGCCTTCCGAGTCACGGCGCTCGACTCACCGTCTTCGTCTCGGACCAGCAGGCGAGCCATATGGAGAAGGAGCCGAAACGCACACATCCCACTTGCGTGGGAAATGGAAGTTGGGTGCTTGCGGTGGGTGATGTTGATGTGTGGTGAGGGAGGGTTTGATGGTGTGGTTTGGCCGGCGATTGTCTACCGCAGGTTTTCGTGGACGCGCATGCGGCCTAATAGAGCCATGCGGTGAATAAATGTGCGAGTGCAGTGTGGACAGTGGAGGTGGATGCGGCGAGTGTAAGTTGGTGCCCCAGGCACTGGTTCGCCAGTTTCTGTGCGTTGGATTCGCAAGTGACCGATCAGGCCGATGCGTGAGGTGAATTTACGGGGACAGTGTGGACATGAGAAGTCGGCGGTGTCAGTATCAGCTTCGGTGATTATGTTGGTGGTGCTGGTGGTGGTGAGCGTGCTGAGCGACGGGGGTGTGGATGGGGCTAGGCATGATGGGTGTGCTGGATTTGCCAGGTGTGTCGGGGCTGCGGTCAATTCCGCTCTCATGGATACGCATGTGGCCGAATAGGCCCATGCGGTGCATGAATGTGCGACGGCAGTGTGGACAATGGAGACGAATGCGGTGGGTATAGGTTGGGGCTTCAGGCGCTGGTTCTGCAGTCTATGTGTGATGGATTCGCAAGTGACCGACCAGGCCGATGTGTGAGGTGAAGATGCGATCGCAGTGGGGACAGGTATAGACGGGGTCCTCATCACTGGTGTTGATGGTGGTAGTATTGGTGTTTGTTGGTGTGTCATGATTGTGTGTAGTGCTGATGGCATGGCAGACGCCACAGCGGCAGACGTTGAGGCAGTGGAGGAGGAGGATGATAGTGGGGGTTCGGGAAGGCGGTCAACGTTAGAGGCGAAGGAGAGGTAGAGGTAGAGACGATGGTTGGTGCAGTCCGAATGCTACAGTTAGTTCGAAGGTGTCCAACAAGCCTAATCGGCGCGAATAATGTCCGTTGCCATCATGGACACGTTGGAGGCGGTTAGGCGTTGACGTTGTGAGGCGGCGGCGGTTGAGATTTGTGTCTCGCGTTTGGCTTTGACGGCGGTGATGCGGTTAGCTTCGAAGATTGCAACGCTTGTATTCACTTTTCTCCTCCATGTATGTCGGTTCTGGGCGAGGCCTTCCCAGTTGGCCGGGTTGATCTGCAGGCGCTTCGGAGAGGTTTTCAGAGTATCCTTGTAGCCCCAGACTTGACCTCGTTGTCGGCGTGAACTCGGCGCGACATGTCCATAAAAGAGTCCTTTGGGTGGCCTGTCGTCGTCCATCCGTACGAGGTGGCCGCTCCAGCGTAGTTGTAGTTGTCTCAGCATAGCGTGAATGCTGAGGTTTCCCGTCCGCTCCAGTACGTCCGTGTCTGGGATCCAGTCTTGCTACCTCAGCTTCAGTATTCAACGAAGACAACTGAGGTGGAGGTGGTTAAGTCATTGTGCCTACTTCATGTACACCGTTCAGGATCCTGCCCCATACAGCAACGTCGGTAGGATGACGGCCTTGTACATATTCAGTTTCTTGCTGAGTTGAAGACCGTGACGATTTCAAACTGTGTTTTGAAGACGACTAAATGCTTGACTGGCCTTGGAAATCCGGCGGGCTACTTCATCGTCGATCTTAGTGTTGCGGGAGAGGGTGCTGCCCAGATACGTGAGATTGTCTACCACTCGCAGTTGGGGGCCGTCACGTTGATTTGGGTTGCGACATAGGCAGCGCCGGATGGCGGTTGGTGCATGACCACCGTCTCCGTGTTGATGATGAGGCCGAAGATGTGGCGGGCGGCGGAGAAGAGATCCATGCTCCTTTGCATGCCTCCTTCCGAGGTGGTGTTGAGGGCGCAGTCGTCGGCGAAGAGAAGTTCATGGACAGCAGTTGTGGATACACGCCACTGGAAGTGCATCCTCCGCTGACTGAGGTGGCCGTCCGTCCTGTAGGCGATGAGGGTGCCAAGGCGTCCGTTACTGTAGGCGTCCATCAGCATGGCAGATAAAATGAGACTGAAGAGGGTAGGCGCCTGGACGCAGTCCTGCTCCACTCCGTTGGCCACTGCGGATGCATCTGAGACAGCCCTTTTGTCCGTGACTCGCGCTATCATGCCATCGTGGAGCTGACGCACCATCTGAGTGAATCGTTCGGGACAGCCGAATTTCTGTATGATTCTCCACAACTCTTTACATTCACCGTATCGAGGGCTTTCGTCAGATCCACGAAGGTAGAGGAAACGTGGGCGCGCATCTCCCGACACTCCTGCAGTTGACGGGCGACGAAGGTCATATCGGTGGTTCCACGATGACGGCGGACGTTACACTGGCTTTCCGACACGTGATCTTGTTCCAGATGATAGTTCAGGCGATTGAGAAGAATGCGAGCGAAGATCCTCCCAGCGATGTTCTGCTTCTCGCACAGTCGCTGTTGCACAAGGCAGCGACTACGGAAGAAAACTGTTTTGTTGTCGTCGATGGGGCGGTCGACGTAGCCTTTGTGTACTCGTTTTCCTCAGCGAGCAAGTTGCTGATGGCGGCGTCGTTGTCATAAAAGCAGTGCTGATGTTGGCGACGTGCGCGACCGAGGACGGCCAGAGCCGTCGACTGGACTGTGTCCCGCAGCTGACACCACCGTTTATCCACAGAGGCGTTCTCGTCAGCGGCAGCAGCGACTGGCATGTTGGCTAGCCGTTGGACTAGCTCGTTGCTGAGATGGAGATGCTGAGCAGGCAAAGACAACAAAGCAATACTCAGCTTACGTGGGGGTCGCTTACCTTGAGGTCTCCTGTGAGGCTGTGGGCGAATCCGCATCTTGATGATGACGAGACGGTGGTCGGTCCACTTTTCGGCACCCAGTATCACCTTTGTCACCAGCGCGTCCCGCTGGTCTCGCCTCCGGACGAGGACATAGTCAAGCAGGTGCCAGTGTCTCAACGGAGGGTGCATCCAGGTGGCCTTTTCTCGCATTGGGAGGCGGAAGAAGTTGTTGGTCAGGATTAGTGGGCGTTCTGCGCAGGTTCGTAAGAGGAGTGAGCCAATGTCATTGAAGCCGTTGAGACCATGGGGACCCAGCACTCCTTTCCAGGCAGCCGGCGTTGAAGTCACCAAGGACAATCAACTTATCCGCTTTTGACACAAATGCCAGGAGGTCGTGCAAGCCCTTGTAGAATTTATCCTTCACGGCGTCGTGTCTGGTCATCGGAGGAGCGTAGACACTTACGATAGTGGCAAATTTGCCTCGCCGGAGAGGCAGGCGAAGACTCATCAGGCGATCGTTGATGTTCTTCGGCAGACGGGGCAGTCGTCCCACGATATCATCCCGGATGGCAAAGGCGACGCCTGTGTCCGGTCGTTCTGCCTTGGGGCGACTGCTCCTGTAGAAGGTGTAGACGGCACCAACCTCCTCCAGTTGACCTTGTTTGGAGAAGTGGGTCTCGCTGAGTGCAGCAATGTCCATCTTGTAGCGCGCCTGTTCCCGAGGCACTAGCGCCGTCTTCCGTTCCGGTAGGTTTCTCCTTGGATTGTCTGAAAGGGGACAAACATTCCAGACTGCCACAGTGAGCGGTCTGGCGAGTGGGGCGGCGGGGAGGAAAAGGGGGAAGAGAGAGATTGTTGTTTCGATTTTGATTGTTTCCACCATGAGTTTTGCGTCTGAGGCCACGGTCAGCCTGTAGACGGCGTTGTTCCCCAGCATTTTTAAGGCACCCTTTCTAACCCCTTCCCTCCTCACGGGGGTGAGCAGTGCTCTTCCTAAATAGGGCTGTTCTGTTGTCCCAGACGGCTGCAGAAATCCACTATGGGCCACGGCTTTTGATTAGTTGAAGGACGACCCAAGTTAACCTGGGCCTGCCTACGACATCGCCGTAGGGACTGCAGGGGGAGGGGGGAGGGAGGGTAGAGAGACGGGATGCTGAACTTTCCCGTCCCTCTCTAGGCTAACTGGTTGCTGAACTGCAATCGGTTACGTAGACAAATTGGACAGAACGGCATTTAGCTTACAGTAAGAACAGACACGAGCGTAGCGTGATCGGGCGGGTATTTTATTATCTCGGATCTGGAAGTAGCATCGGTGTTGAGCACAGTTTTCCGGTAAAAGGTGCGTTTTGCCCAGCCTATAAGCCTGACAGACTGGTCACCCACAGCTAAACGCCCTTGTGCCCGAAAACAACTCAGAGGAAATCCGTAAGGCGGTAGTTGGACCGAAAGGCAACAAATCACCCGGCGAGATTTGTCTTCCGACTGAAATCTATAAAGATGTTCGAGAGTATTAACTGATCCGTTGCGCAGCACTTTGACGCGGATTCGGAATCAAAGACCGTGTCTGCAGATTAGAACTACACCTTCGTAACATAAAGGTTCGAGAAAGGTGACAGATCCCTCAGTAAGAGATGCTGTGAGATAAGCCATTTTAACATTGTCGATATCTACCACGTCGTCCTCAAATGCGTCTACTCGTTACGTGACGCAAGCCCAAGTCTATGTGACTATCGGCTGTCGATAAACCTTGCTCGTAAATACTTTTCTATTTACCGAGACCTCAAGCCATACCACTGCCGCAAGCAACTCAGCCTCCGTTTCTTGAATTTCGACTGTTCATCAGACTTCACTGTAGTCAGTCATGCGCCATGACGGTTGGCCACTTAGCTTATTTTTGTTCTGATCGGTGCCTGCTGTTACAAATACGGGCATTTGAAGTGGCGATTTCACTTACGGCGTTAATTGAGGTCGTATTTTTCCATTAACTCTCTTTAACTATGCAATTGGCTGGGTTCTTCAGAACGCGCTCACAGACAGACCCGGTTTTATTGTAGCTCATAGTTCACGATCTGCACATCTTAACTACACTGATCATGTTGTGGCGATGGCAAGCTGCTTTGCAGAAGTACAGCATGCCGTGGTCTGGATTGGAACGATGTGGGCTTTAAAAAATTCCACTTCATTTTTGGGGCCAAAGGTTTATATCTAGTCACTGTAGGTGGTGGCATCCCTGGGTTGGCTTCTTGCCAACCGTACAAGAATGAAATCGACTGTCAGATTAGTCGGACGGCACCCACGTAGGCTTAATCGAAACCTCCATATCTGTAGCATATTTGTCCGTCGACCCGGCTGTGAGCACTCTGTTCGAAATTTAATCCAATGCATCTGAGAAATAATCTTGTGTCACCCCTGGTTTTCCCAAACAGTACTAGTTCAGGTTTCGTTCTTGTCTGTTATCCTTCTTTTTGAGATTTTTTTCGTGTAATCCTCCTTTTTAAAATAATTTAGAGGCACTTTTAAGGATAAACACGACACTGCCAGAGCAAATTTAAAAAGCAAAGCCGAAAACGCTATTTCTGGATTAATGACGTTTGCGTTCTGACAAAAATATAAATTTAAATTTTTTATCGTAGTCCCCAATGGGTCAGGGAAGTATCCATAGGATCTAATGTTTAACGTTCGGTTACAATAATAAAGGCTCGTTACTAACGAACCGAGAGTTGATTGATTTTTGGTGCCGTAGTTTTGCTCCTTCTGAGCCTTCGAGCTTACATGAAACACGGTCCTGAGAGAAGGTTACAAGTAACGCAATCGGCAGTACTTTTTGCTGTTGAACTGAACGTTCTTCCGCATGCGCATGCTGCTTTGGACGTGCCCAAGTCCTTCACCCCCTGAAATTCTGTCTCAGGACGTATTTTACATTGGCGGAACGATTTACGCAGGCGAAGTGAATGCCCATGGGTTTGCCAACTTCGGAACTCATAGTCGAGGCGGTCCTACAACGGTTAGAGTCGCTGGTCTTCTAACACCACAGGTCGACATTTTGGGCTCGGTATGTGGATGATATCTTTGTCGTCATTGAACGGGATGGGGCAGTAACTTTCAAAGAAATTCAGCAGCGTCTTCCGGACATACAATTTATAATGGTGAAGGAGGAGAACAACCAGTTGACCCTGCTGAATGTCCTCGTCCGCCGCAAGGACTGTGGTGGCCTAAAGACCAAAGTGCTTAGAAAAGCGATGAACATGACGCAAATACTGAACTTCAGCAATCAGCCACAAACGCAGTTGGGTAAGAACGCTATATCGGCGTGTTGAGACGCACTGCAGTGAACCAGAAGACAAGGTTGCCGAATCCCAACATCTTCGACGGGTTTTCAGAGAAAATGGTTTTCCGCGCAACTTCGCCAACCGGTGTATGCGCAAACGAGACGAGCGACCATATCGTGCCGATCCCAAATTCTGGCGAGCGATCCCGTACATCAAGAACGTCTCCGAGGCCGTTAGCCGCCTTCTTGCACCACTTGGGGTTGGAGTTGCACACAGACCGGAGACCACCATGAGGCGTCAGGTGGTGAGACCAAAAGACCCACTGCCACGGCAAGAAACATCTGGGTTAGTTTGTCAGACTTGGCGCAGGTGTGGGCAAAGCAACTACGCCGGAGAAACTGGAAGACTGCTCTGGACGCGAATCGCCGAGCACGTGGCAGCAGTGCGGAGAAATGACACTAACTTTCAAGTCGCGGCCTATTCGACGAGACCCGGCCACACATTCAAGTTCGGTGAGGCCGAAATTATCACTAGATGTGGTAATTGCCTGAGCTGCGAGTTGGTCGAATCATGTTTCACGAGGCCCCTGTCTATTAACAAGTTCAGTGATCTCCCTATCCCATATTCGGTGCTGACACCTAATTCGACCGGGATAATTACCCATTTGGGGAGCGTGCGGACCGGCCAGTCAGATGGCCGAACAATCACCACGCCAACATGCAGCACGGGGGATAAAATTTCAGCAGTTAGCAACTTTCATGCCAGCCGTCAAGCATTTGGCGCACCGGCGGACAACCATCCTCGATAAAGAGAACAGTTATCATAGGTATGCAGTAGCATAGCGAATGCATCCTATAAACACTACTATTTCCTACGCATGAATTACTGGCATATGACCCTGTCTCTGATGATGGGCTCAAGCGTGAATTCGGAATGTCGGGCGAATAAGGCTCTTGTTCTGGTGGTCGCATTTACTTTTTGTCAGCCACCTCCTGGAACTTGCAATGTCGGAATGTTCTGGGACAATGTCAACGAGGGGGGAGGGGGTGGAGGGTTGTGTGCGACGGGTGTTGGACGGGACCCCATTCACGCAGTGGTGGATTCACTGATGATCGGTCTAGTCGATGCGTAATTGGAATTTGCGATCACAATAGTGACAAGTTGTCACTGTATGCACGTTGCCGGTGGCTGGTGTCCTTTACATGCTAGCGGTATTCCCATCGAGATGTCTGACCATGTTGAATTAGGCATAGGAGGCCGTTTAAGCTTGACGTGTAGGAGGGATGCATTCGTTTATGTGGCCGTGTTGACATTGCATCAAATTCGAAGGTGTCCATCTTAGCCAGTGTGTGCTCTGAATGTCCATTCTTACTGCAGACATGTTGGCAGTGGTCAAGCGGTGACAACTTTGCTTCGCGGAATTCAGGTCTTTCGTACCTCCTGGGGCAGGGGTGAAGCTGGTCTACATTATCTGGTACTGGTTTATCAAATAACCTCAGTTAGAAAGACTACCATCCCTCCCAAATTTCGCATGCGTCAGATTTCAGTTTGTGAGCTCTGTTTGCTACTGCTGAAACTTCTTTCACTTTTCCATGAGACACGGTGTAGATTTCCATGTCTTAAATGTGTTGCATTTATGAAGGAGAGACCTGTTTCGTGATGACCACTTAAATGAACATCCAAGTCTTATTAGTCTATCTGATTGAATTTCTGTCGCCTGTAACCGTTTCGACCGACCATATTTTACAGGGAAACTTAGCGCTAATCCCGTGTTCTCATTTTGCCGCCCACAGAATCTTTCAGAAATTTGTAGTTCTCTAAGTTATTCATCCTAATCCTCCAATAATTTTACATAATTAAACGATAACAACAAACTCCAATCTACCTTCTCCTTTTTAGTTGTCAAATTGCTTCTTCTGAAGCGCGTTTCCCCCTATGGATTCCAAATACTACGATCTGAACGTCCCACGCTCAACTGCGACTGCGCAGACTATCGCTCGTCTCCTCGATTGCGAATATCTTTACCTGGCAATCACTGTAACTGTCGACATGGATCAGTTTCATTTCAATGACGGCGATTCCATGCGCAAGAAGTCTAAGGAAGCCAGACAAGAAATGCGCCAAAAAATCCTATCTGAGCTTTTGCCACCGACGCGAGAAGCTCTCGAAACCCTCTTGAAGGATAGCGAAAAGTTTCGCGCCGTGAAAGCTGTCCGTCCCAGCCTCTGCCCGCCGCGCCTCTTCACTCGTCTTAACCTCGCCTTCTCAGACACCGAACAAGTCGGCCTCTTTTTCAAGGAGTTTTCCGACCAAATTGGTGCCTACGACCTCCTCAGCTTAGAGCCTCTAAGTCAGTCT